CACAGAGATTATTGTACCTCATTTTTTTTCTTGTTTCTGAAAGCAAATACTTTGATAAGCAAAAACAAAAGGTCAAAGGAAGGACAATCTCACATGCATTCACTGCACTCCTTGACCACTTAACAACCTCAGTATAAACCCAGGAAAAAGTGGGCATTGAGGTCAATCTTTTGTACCAGCTCATCTAAAAGTGGAACAAGCTGATCCACTCTACTCTAACCATCAAACAACTAATCAGGATGGCTGCCTGCTACAAAGAAGGTGTGATCTCTCTCTCTCTGTTCCAACATACAATGATCTGTGAACTGTCTCACCAACAAGAAACATGTTTGTATTTGTATTCAAAAAAAAAAAAAAATTCCAAAACAATGTTTACCAAGAGTTTATTCATTTTGAATGTAAAAACCAATATTCTGTACCAACCTGCATAAAATCAAAGTACAGATAAAAGAGTATCAGCCAATGAGACATAGAGATGTGTCTTCAGTTAGTGTTCTATCATTATCAGTTATTACTGCATCCTGGATGACCAATGTTTCAATGTTCAACATTCTCAGAGAACTATTTATATGACAAAAACCTGAAGGGTTCAGTGGCTGGAATGTGTTGACAGAAAGAATAAAGAAATAAATATCTATCTAAAAGATATACAAGAAAGAATTTCCATGGAATCATAAAACTTCTTTAATGCAGTGAATGGCAACTTTTTCTTTTTAAAACTTTTTACATAGTCAAGATCACAATATTGGTTTCAAATGGACTGGCACAAAAATTCAACAATATTTTCCTTTCCTTGTTATATATATATTTGTAAGAGATTAATGGATTTATTTTTAATCTGACAGTTTTATTACTTCAAACGTTACTGTAGTCGACACTTCGTATTTGAAATAGATGTTCCAATTTTGATGTATTACATTGTGGCGGACTTCACCACATTTATTTAACTTAGATTAGGAAACCAAACTGACGTGAAGAAAAAGAGGATAAGCCAAAGACATCATTACACATAAAATTTGTATTTAACAAGATGTACAAACAAGGGTGTGAAAGAAAAGCATGCATTAAGTAAAACAAGAGTTGTCTTTCTTTAACTATCAATTGTTCTAAAGTTCACTGAAAGCAATAAGGCCGTAATAGTTTCTGGTAATAAATGTTTTCAACAGTTTTGCTGTGTAAGAAAAAATATTATGTGAGTATAGGGAATATTCAGCATGTGAGCGGTGGTGTGAGTGAGAAGATTGGCGCATGGTTTCAACTGTTGTGGATTTCTGTGGCAGCTGAGATCTCACTGGTTTACTAAGAATTTTCTTTGCTTATATAGGTGATCATCGTCTCCGAAAGCACTGCGTGTGAAGAATCACTCTTTATGTGCAAACAATCTGATTGGTTGGCATTTACCAATCAGCGAGCGACTTTTGGGAAGACTCACGAAAAGCTTCTAGGATCCGATTCTCCCAAAAGTGCACCAAATCGTCTACATGAAAATATAGTGATTATAAAATTGTCGCATTACACAGTAGTGTTGATTTACTATCCAATGAATGCTTGTTGTTGTATAATTTGAAATTGCATAAGTATGTATGTATGTGTGTGATGATGATCATCACAACGTCTATCAGCCTGTGTATTCGAGAAATCCTAGTAAGTAAAGAAAATGTGTTCACTTTCAGGGATTGAATCTGTGTTTCCCTTTGTAATAGAAACTAGCATTTGATCCGGCATGTTTGACAGCTTGGTCATGAAGAATGTCACAGTAAGACTATTTTCCATTTTAAGACAAGAGTTTTGCTGACTGTGATGTTCATTTGTACAAAATTTGCTTCATTTCCTTTTGTTGACATTTCAGCTTCAAAAATACTAGTTCGTTTTTCAAGCTTATGATTACTTGTGAAATCAACATTAATTTTTATAAAAGTCTGTACTTGCTTCCCCATCTTATTTTGTGTCGATCTGTATTGCTTCTCTCAGTCATTTGGTTTTGAAACCTAATGAAGTCCATTTCCAGGTAATCGTCCCCATGAGTTGAAGCTGTCGCACATCTTTGTTCCAATTTTGACTGCAGTGTTCAACAACTGGTTTCGGTCGGGGTCCATCCCCAACCGGATCACCAGGGGTGTGATCACTCTGTTGAAAAAGGGCAAAGGTGGTGGGGGGAACCTAGATGATTACAGGCCCATAACTCTGCTAAACACAGAGTTAAAGATTATGGCTAAGATCCTGCAGGAGCGTTTGCAGTCAGTTGCCGAGTCTCTGTTGGGACCTGAGCAGACTTGTTCTGTGAAGGGCCGAACAATTCAGGAGCAACCTGCATCTGATCCGCTTTGATCATAGAGGGTGTAAAGATGACGAAGAAGCGGCGCTGATCAATTGGGATCAGTCCAAGGCATTTGATAGGGTTTCCATCGCTACCTTGTTGCTGTCCTGCAGGCGCTGGATTTGAACCCAACTTCTGCGCTGGATTAGCCTCCTGTATCGCCTCCCCCCAGTGCGGTGGTACAGGTGAGCGGAAGGTTGTCCGGACCGTTCGTGCTGTCTGGGTCGGTTCGTCAGGGTTGTCCGCTGTCGCCTCTCCTTATGCGCGCTTTGGCGTTGAGCCTCTCCTTCGCGGCTGAAGGACGCGAGACCGGGCAGTCCGCCCCCCTACGATGGAATTGCCGTTCCTGGAGGGTTTCTCGTCACGCCGATGGCGTATCTGCTTTAAATTATTCGTCCCGCAATGACATTGAGCAGTACAGAAGGCGCTTGATCGGGTGCGAGAAGGTGACAGGGGCCAAAATAAACCGCGACAAGTCGTCCGGCTTGCGGTTAGGTGCCTGGAAGAATTAAGCTCTTCCGGGCCCACCGGTTGGACAGAGGTCCTGTCCGCATTCTTGGAGTGAATTGGTCTGAAAATGCGAGCAAAGGTCGATTTTGCCAGTCAGACTTGGAATCGGCGGAGGTTGTCCGTGAAGGGCAGGGGCGGAGGTGTGTGCTACATACATTTTCCCCCTGATTCTTTATCGAATGTCCGTTACTTCCTCTCTGTAAGACCCACAAGAAGGCACTTGAACTTCGCTATCCTCCATTTTATGGAGGGACACGGGAATCGGGTTGATAGACGAGTCTGCACTAAACGTCCGTGTCATGGGGGCTGGGAATGCCCGCACCTGCGAGTCACATCCGTGCCTCTAGGTTGGCTTTCCTACGCCGTGCATTGACTGGAGGAGATCCGATTATGGAGGGGTTGTTGGGGACGTGTTCCTGGCCTTACCATCAGTCCCCCATCTCGGGGTTGAGCGCGGTCGTAACCCCGGATCAATCGGTTTTCCTTCGCAGTGTCGAGTCGGCCTTGAAGGCGTTCCCGTCCAGTGACCTTTCTCGGCCTAGGAAGGTCTTCTATCGTGAATTAGTGGAGATGCCGTGAAGGATCCCCTACGAGATATGCTCGGCATGTCGGAGGAGGAGTTTCACCTATTGGTCTTAGGCGCCAGCGGCGGATTACCTCGGTAACCCTGAGTTTTCGCTTAGCTGGCGATTGGCTCAGAATCGGCTGCCTCTCAACGGCGTGGCTTTCATATGGGGCTTGGCGGTTGCCAGACTGTGAGCGGTGTGGCCCTTGGCTTAGAAGAAAGCTGCATACACCTTCTACCATTGCCCCAGGTCTGCCCTTATGGGACCATGTCGGCAGCTGGACGGGTCGTCTCGCTCCCGAACAGCTTGTGTCCATTGATTGCGCGCTCTGGCGTGTGACAATGTGTAAGCCTCCGTATTCGATGAAACGGATGGTGTTTGGACGCTGATGGCCACGGCTCGAATGGTGATTTGGACGACCGAAAGGAGGAAGTCTTGCGAGGCAATCGTCTTTCTCATTCAGATCTAATTTGATTCTTTGAGCATCAGCTCAAGATGAAGATTAGATCGGATAGAAAAAAGCATTGCATTCGGCAGTCTTTAGCGAAAAGGTGGGTAAAAGAAGCGAGCTTGCTTCGTGTGAAGCAGGGCTAGCCTTGACTTTCTCTTCTAGGGTCAACCTATTGCACATCGGGTGGCTTCCTGTGAACCCTCCCTTGGTTAGGTTAGACAAGCTTCAGTGTACCTAGTTAATGTGAGTAAGGTTGTTCCTGGCCTGCATCCCGGCCGTTCTTTGGTTATGATCCAAGTCTAGATTCCCAACCTCCCCAGTTTGTTTTGACCCCCCTTTCATCTCGACTGGGTCAGTTTTATATTTTCCATTCCAGCCTAATATTTTATACTTTTTTCCCACTCCCTTAGCGAGAGCGTCTCTTGATTTTGTCCCCTGGGCAGAATACAGCGGTCTCTCTGTTTTATGGGTTGGAATTATGTTTAATTTGTATTTGTGTTTATTTTAAGTTTATTATTGGGTTCATTTCCCTCCCTTCTCATTTTATCATTATTAGAATTGTATATATATATATATATCATCATTAAAATTTTTATGGCATAGGGCGCGATTTTGGTAGGTCTCCCTTGAGAGCACGTGGTATTATGGTGGTTGAAGGCTTGTTTGGTGATGGACGAGTTCTTTTGGTGAATGAGTAAAATGTAATGTACGAATGGGTCGCGAATAAGATAGTTAGTGTTGACCAGCCTCTACCCCTCCCCTTTATTGGCCCCGTGCCACAATTTGTACTTTTTGTACGAATAAATATCAGTTAGGGCTAGGGTTAATTCCAGATGCCTGCAGAGGTGCCTATAAATACCGATGAGGATTGGTCCCATGTAGGCGTGAAACGCCCACTTTAAATTCGGCCTTGTACCATTCGGGAGAGAGTGCGGATAAATATCTTCTGACCAGCCTGATTATTCAGAGAAAGGCAGTATAGTCTGTAAAACAAAAACAAAAAAATCTAATTTTGTTTTACTAGAAAGGGAGAAAGAGGAAGTTGTAATATCCAATGTCGTTGATGCTGCTGATATTTTAACTTAAATCGAAAACCGTTGGTCTTTTTAAGGAGGGTAGCTAAGTGAAAGTGACTCAGTAAATATTTTCTCTGCAGAAAATATCCATAACCGTGAACTGCTTTATTTTGTGGGAGACAACGTGTTCCACCAAGCTGGTTCGGTAATTTTTTTAATGCATGTTTTTAAATACATTTTTTTTTTTAAATTTGTTTTCTCATTTGTACTTCGTCAGTTTAAAAATCCGAACTAACTTTAAAAAACGAATATAAATCTAAAAAAAATGTTTTGGGAAACTTGCTTTCTTATTGCAGCTTTTTAAAAAAAAAAAAAATAGATGGAGTTGAATCAGGAATAGGCTAAGAAGTAAGTCTAAAAGAAGGTGTACAAATTGTACAATGTACATTGTACGACAATTCAATACAAAATGCAATAATTGTAATAATGTAATATGTAATAATTGTAATATTATGTCCTGTCGGCACTAGCACTATACTACCCGCAACATACACGCCAATGGTTAGCGTTCGAGCCCAAGTAAATGGTAGATTTCGAATACTAATTTATCAACAATGCATGTGTAGGCTCTCCATGCTTGCAGATTGGTGCAATACAATTATTGTCTCTCCCATTTTGCTTCATACCAATGTATCAATGTTGATAAACATGTTTTTTTTTTTTTAGTAAAAACATTTTACTTTTTTTTTTCGGTATTTTGAACATGAGTCCGTTCACAAAAACCATAAATTTCAGTTTAAGTTTGATCATCTAAAAAAGTTATAATCTGTCAAAATAAATACATACATTTATTTCAGGATTTTTTCCGTTAGGATCGATTTCGGTCTTTATTGTCGGTGGTAGGGTTGAAAGAATTTTATTTTTGTTTGTTTTTCTGGTTTCATTGACGAAGTGAGATGGGGCGGTGGCGTACGGTAAAAATTATAAAAAAAATAAAACAAACAAAAAAAACGAAAAAAACACTAATGAATGAGAATAGTTACAAATTACAATAAAATTAAAACACCAAATAATTGTAACTGTAAAGTCCTAAAATTAAAATTCTTAAAATTTATTTTTCATTTCTAAAAAAAAAAATTATATAACTACAAAGTACAAATAAAGCGAACCACCATAGGTTAGGTCCGCATTCGAAAAAGCTTTTTATAGCGAAATTTTAAAAAAATTCGCTAAAAACTAAACTTTATTTTGTAAACGTTTGTGTTAAAGATCATGAGTAATTAATTATATATGTACACTACAATATAGTCTTATGACCTCAAATATATCTATGCATTTTTAATTTGGACATAGAAAGCAGCTGAAAACTAAAACATGACTTCATGTTTCAAAGTTTCATTGTTATTAAAAAAAAACGGTAAAAGCACATACACATTAAAAAACTATTCTGTAGCTCTGATTCTTAGATTTTAAAGATTTTTTTCATAAAGAAAATTGTCCACAGTATTCATAATAATATGAATAGTTTTCTTGTGCACGACAGTTAATTTTTTTTATTGAATGGAATGTTTTCTCAGCATAATAAAATTGAAAAGTGAAGTTCTTATTTTAATAATTGAAAAGGAGTGTTTTGTTAATTTTACCTGGAAATGTTAAGTTAATTACTTTTCTTCATTACAAACTGTTTTCTTACTAACTTATATACACGGCAACACATTGTAAAAAAATATATAAGCATTCAGTTTGAAAATTTACATTTTTTCAACCTTTTAAAAAGTAACGAATCAAAATATTTGAACAATCGAAGTGACATAATTTGAATATGTCTTCTTGACTTGAAATATACTGTTAGTGTTATGTTGAAATATTATGAGAATGTTGCATCTCCACTGATGTGCTTTATCCCTTTAGAATGTGGGCTATCATGTCCCTCCACAACTTCCTATCCATTGTAGCTCTTCTTAACAAGGTTTGTCTTTTTACTATCAATCCCAGTCCATTGTTATGCTATCCATTTTTACACAAGCTGATTAGGTAGATTACTTGCTATTTCCCTCTACCTCTTTTTAGCATTCAGCATGTGTCCTTTTGTTTCCATTTCCCTTAAGAATTCCTTGGTTCTCACATCTGTTTGTTAGTATCCTCAGCATCCTTCTGTAGAATCACATCTCTATTGCTTCTTTCCAGCATTCACTGCCATATAGGAGGATTGATATTACATCACAGTTCAGTACACTTTTCTTTCTTTCTAATGAAATATTCCTGTTTCTTAATATTTTGTTTACCTTTTGGTAGAAATCTTTTGCTATCCCATTGTACATTTGGATTGTTGTTTCCCATTTGCCATTGTTTGTTAAAACATTTTAGTTAAATTTCTTGATGTTGGCATTTCCTATTTGTCGATCACATCTTTAACTCTTCGCCTTGCTGACAACCAGACGTTCTGTCTGCTTACTATTGTTGGTTAATCCTTTCTTCTTACATTTCTTTACTACCTTGTCTTGAAGGTTCTGCAGTTTTCTTTTTGTGTCTGCCATTAACAGGGTATCATCTGTATATTAAGATTGTGCCCACCAATAATATACCCTGGAACTGGATATCCTGGTAGGATATTCAGTTCTCTTAGTTTAACTTTGCTGAAAAGGTTGAATAATTCTGGTGATAAGACACATCCTTGTCTTACACCTGTACACCAATAATAAATCTTAGTAGAACTTCTAGTTGGTTTTTAGATCACCTTTCTGTTAAATAAATCTGGTGAGAAGATGCACCTTTGTCTTATGCCCCTTTCTATTTTTGTATGCTTGCTCAATATCTGTATGCAGACACTTTGCTTTCAGTAAATATTCTGGATTAGGTGCTCTATAAAAACTAATGGTATTTTACAGAGAACATGTTCTGCAATATTTTATTAAAAAAACTGTCATACAAGTTAGAACAATAGTTATATAAAATTAATAATAATTGCATTTTAATTTTGCTTTTTAAACTTTTTGGTTGTACTTAATTCAGAAGACTAAATGTCAGATTAATTTTTTTTTAATCACTCACCCCAAGCAAGGTGATAATGTCACTAAAATGCAAGCAGTTACTGGGCATGAAAGTGAATATAAAAAATATTTGCAGGAATCATTTCCCTCATTTCTGATTTTAATAAAAAGAAATAAAAATTCTTTTGAAATTGATTATTTAATTCATGATTTTCTATAAGGTACAACATTTTATTATTGCTATTAAAGCAGATATACTTAATGGAAGAAGAGAAAAAAGAAAAAGTATAATTTTCTTTTTTTTTTCATTATTGTTCACAGTAATTATACTTTTTTTCTTCCATTAAATATGTCTGTTTTAATAGGAGTTATTTAATTCAGGTTTCAATAGTATATAAGCAAAAACAACTTTTCTAAAGTTTTTTATATCTGTATTTTTAAAATAAACTAAGATTTTATGGTATTGCAAACCTCATACTTTTTAAGATAAGGAGACATAAACATTTCATTTATTTCACATTTTGTTTGGAACAGCTCAAAATTACAGTAGGTTTGATGTGTATTTATGGGATGTATTATAGTATTAAAAATAAAAGTGAAGATGAGACAAATTGGAAAATTTATTAATGTGTTTTGCTGAGGAAAAATGCCTTATGTGTGTGTGTGTATATATATATATATATATATATATATATATATATATATATGCAAGTTATAGGATTGGTGTATATGGAATAAATTCCAGTAACCAAGAAATATTCTTAAAAGAGTGCTCAATACAGAGTAGAGCAAATATAATTTATCTGAAAAAATGACTATTTTTGTAGTGATGTTAACATATTTGTTATAATTTTCCAATAAATTATATATATATATATATATATATATATATATATATATATATATGGTATGGTTGGGAATGTTTGTGCGTACATGTATGTACAAGTATAAAAAACGAAAAAAAGACTAATATATGTATATCCCTGGGTAGGTGTGTGTATGCATGTACATATATATATATATATATATATATATATATATATATATATATATAAAAAAACACTCTTTAGTTTCGATGGGCTGATTAAAATACAACACCAAAGGCTCTAATACAGATATAGATAAAACAAATAGGTGGACATACACTCTCTTGAGTTTGGTCATTGTAGAGAATAAGGTAATTTAATTTGATTTATGGTTCCCACTTATCCTCAGAGATCCCAAGGCATTTTTCCTCATATACAGTTTTGTCTTTCTTTCATTCTTACCTGAGGAAGCCAAAAAGAGCAGACACTCTCCTCTCAGTTAAACACATCATAAGTAAAGTTTCCACTTTTTCATCTTCACAGGAGATTTGATGTAAAATACAAGAGAACATTGTCTAAGGATTTTTAATTGAAATAGCAAATCTTTAAGTGTTCTGTTTTATTTTTTAGTGGATTATAAAGTCCAAATTAGAATAATTGCAAAAAAATGCAATTATTTTGTTACATGCTTTTATTTATATTTATTTTGCTACTAATAGTATTCAAAGTGGGATATTTCTCTCCGGAAGCATTCATAAAGTTTTTCACATGATATATATATAAACTGCAGTATACAGTCAAATATATAAATTTTTCTTATTTAATCATTTTTTTTTAAATACTGTGTATTTCTCAAATATGTAAGAAAAATGTGCATGAAAGCAAAACTTATTGAAAATTTATTTTGTAAAATTAGTGTGAATTTTATACAAATTTTTATTATGATATTGATATTTTTTAAGGATTCACATTGATGCATAAAACATTTTTCTTAATTTGTATTTTACTGCTCAATTTTAAAATTGAGCAGTAAAATACAAATTTAAACCATTTCAGTTTAAATAACTTGCATAAGTTCTATTTCAGTTTATTTTGGTAATTTCTTTAATAATTTATAATTATGCTAATTTTAATTTTATGCTATATGAATCTTTAAGATTCATATAGCATAAAATTAAAATTCGTTTAACTCCAAGCAGAACCAAGAAAATATCTTTATTCTGTCCCTACATAATTCAAGAAGACACTTTTAAAAACTTTTCTATAATTTTGTCCTTTTTAAAATGTCATAACATTTAAGAGGGAAATTATTACTTCTAATACATTGAAAACAGCTTTTTAAAATGGAGTTGATTTTTTTGTGTAAACTTTATATATTTATTAGATATTTAGTTCAGAGGTTTTTTAGTTTGGTTTGATACAAGGTGAATGGATATAAATCTTAGTAATAATTTTGATATTTATGAAGCTTATCTTTGTTTGGCACAAGGCCACAGTTGTGCATACAAAGTGACCCAAGCCAGTATCCTGAATAAAAATACATAGTTTGAATGAATTATGTTAGTACACTATCAGAATGTTTTGCAGTTCATGTTCTATGAACATCCATAAAGTTTAATTTGTGATATTCTCTGTGAATCTATTCACCAGTTTTATCTCTGCTATCCACCTTTTATTTTTCCCTCTTTTTCTTGCAGCAACATGGAAGAACTCAAACTTGAGCGTGTACGGAATCGTCTGCTCTATTGCCCGGTATGTCTAGATGAATTTGAAGATCCCCGTTGGCTGCCTTGTCTTCATACAGTTTGTTACCAGTGCCTACAACAGCTAAAAGATTCTTCTTCTTCTGTCTTCATCCAGTGCCCAGAATGCCGCAGCAATATATCCACACGAGAAAAGTTTCCAGTCAATTTCTTGATTAACAGTTTAAAAGAGGAAATTGAAGCAACTACTTCTCCAAAGTTGTGTGATATCTGCCACAAAGGATTTCATTTTGCCAAGTACTATTGTGAAAAATGTAATCTGGATCTTTGTGAATCTTGTGCACCAGAACACAGCCTCTTCATTCATATGTCCGCAAAGGAAGATTTCTTAACCCTGAAAACTGACTGGCCTAAACTGAAGATTCCCAGCAAATCAGAGTGCCCAATACACATAGATGAAACTCAACAGATGTACTGTAAGGATTGTGAACAAGGTTTGTGTGTACAGTGTTACTATGTTTCACATAAGAAACACAGGACGGTGCCATTGAAATGCCTGAGTGAAACATTTAAAGACAATATGAAGCAAGAATTGATATCATTCTCTAAGCTATCTGATGAAATCAATGTCTGTCTGACTGAATTGGACTTTTTTGAAGAAGACATGATTAAGTTGTATGGTTTAACTATTGAGAAAATGAATCAGGAGAAAAATCTTCTTTTGGAAGCAATTGAGTACAAGTTCACTGAGCAGATTGATTGTGTTCATGCATGGCAGAAACAGGTATGCACATCAATTCAATCACATCGGTTCAGGATGCATAATTATTGTAATAATATAATTCGTGGTAAGAAAATCTTTGTGAAGATTCGTGACAATCCAATCAATATGTCAGCCATCAAATCTTTTGATAATTATGTGAAGCTGTTAAAAAGTGAATGTCAGCAACTCAAGAAAACATCTTATCAAATGAAAAAGCCAATATTTCTTAAAAATTGGCGTTTGAAGATTGAGCCTTTTTTGTGGGTGTTTCTTGGCTATGCAAGCTTTTCATCAATTCGTCTAAAATTATTTCCAGTATGGAGAAGGCCTACTTGGACTTTAAAATTTTTGGGATTTTTTTTATACATAATTACTTTTGTTTTTGTGTTCTTTGCAATTTGTAAGTTGAATTTACATATTCTCAGCAATGGATTGGGTTATGACACAGGTTTTGCTCTTATTATTCAAGTTTACTTTCTTATTAGTTTGCTCTTATGCTGGCTTTAAGAAAATTACTTATTTTCAAAATAAAATAACTTTTAACAATAAATTAACTAGCTGCAATAATGGAACTCAAAAGCTAGCTAAAAAAACAAAAAAAATTATTTCTATCATACCTATCTTTCATACTGTATTTTATAATTATTGTCTTATTTTGTAATATAGATTTTAAAATCCTGCAAATGCTGGAAGATTGCATAGTACCAGTCATACAGTGTTTGAATTGTAACATATGAAATCTCAACCTGGCTTTTATGAAGTTTTAACACTGACCAATGACAATTCAGAGTGCTATCAACATGCCTTTTAAAACATCCCATTAACTTTAAAAAAGGTTTAATTGTATTACTTTTCTGTGTCATGTAAAACTGATCAGAACATTTACAAATTCAACTGGTAAATTTAAAAACATAAAGGCTAGGTTTAAGTTTTGAAAGAGATTTATATATATATATATATATATATATATATATATATATTCAACAATGATTTAAAACATATCCTGAAATTAATTGCTTAATATACAAATTTTGGCAAAGTTTAATCTTCATACCCACAATAAAATGGTGTCAAAAGGACAATTTTTCCCTTGACACCACTATTATTTTTTAACACCTTCACTCCCTTGGTAATGTTTATTGTTTTAAAAAAGCAATGATGAAGATTTTTAATAAAGCCCAAATATATGAAAATGAATTTATACATTTTTTTTGTTCTTTGAGAATTTAACATAAAAATATTAAACAGTATTTACTTATTAGATTGTTTATTTACAATAATTTTTTATTTACAATATTCTAAATATACAAATCATCCAATAAAATGCAATGTTTATCATTTAATAATTTATAAAGAAATAAATCTGAAAATTATTTTCTTTATTCAGAAAAATTTACTAAGTTATAAAAATATATGAATCAACTCTAATGAAATCTTTTTATTATTTATAAGGTTTGAATTTATTGGCAAGTCACCCATGTTTTGCCAACCATTCCAAAGAACAGAATTCGTTTGAAAATTTTCTGGGTTTTTATATTGAATAAAAAGATTTCTTTTCAAATTTATTTCTTTGTAAAATGACAAATAATAAATCTTCATAAAATGGTAAATAATAGATATCACATTGTACCTGGTTCACATATTTTTATAAACTTGCAGAGGGAGTCTTGGTAGATTAAATAGTGATGTCAACAGAAAAAAATCTCCTTTTGACACAATTTTTTTGTTGGTATGAAGGTTAAACATTGCACAAGTTTTTTTTGGATTTTAGCTACATCTTTGGTATTTGATGTAGAATGTGTCCCAAATTGCAATACTTTATTAAAAACTTGTTACTCTTTAAAATTATTTTAACTAGGAAAGATTACATAATATTTTGCAAAGCTTTGCTGTTATTTTAGAAATGTTTATTTGTTTTTTTTTGACATGTTATATTTCAGTACAATATATTTCTAAAAATAAATAATTGTGGAGTTACATCAGATTTTAAAAATCTGTTTATAACAGATGAAGAAATATCAGCATAACCATACCATCTCATTTTCACATTAAGTCTAATAAAATAATACAATATTGTACATATAATATGACAGTAAAAATTCATTAACTAATATGATGATTATTTTTTGTAAAAACACCAAGTGTTTTTCTGGAGCAAAATGACTTGAAATATATTTTCAAGTGTCTCATAAAAGCTGTTAAAATGTAGATGTATATTTGAACATTTTTTTTTTTTTTACAAATTAATTTTCTATAATTTACCAGAGCTTACATTGATTTTTATCCTCCTGCTTTAAGTCTTCATATTTATTGTAATACCTGCTATATTTGATGTTATTTTTAGGTTCTTTTTTATTTTCTCAAGTTGCAAACCTGACAGCAAACGCATCAACATATTTGGTTTATTAACAAGTGTCTAGAGGGTTATTTTATGTTAGCTATAAAGTATCTCAACTTGTCTTTTTATAGCTTATTATGCTTACAGGGTTGCTTGTCATAAAATAAAGTATAGATCTATACACAGCTCAATTTTCTTGAACTTAGATTGTATTACAAGTAAAAAAAATATGGTATGAATTGGCTTTTAAAACTCTTAAAAAATGAAAAGTAGGTATAATAAATTATTTTTTAATTAATTTTTTTCATCATTTGCAATTAAGCTAATAATAAAATAGAATATTAAAAAATATTTAATATATATATATATATATATATATATACACACACACATATATTAATAGGCACGATGAAGTACTGGATAGTGACTCGGATTGAGGAATCGGAAAGCCGAGTTTGAATTCCAGTTGAATCGGTTACATTCACTTACAGGCTAATACTCTTGGGAAAGGTATTTATGCTCTTCTATCTCCAGCTATGGGTAAATAGCAGGACAGACTTGGATGGCAACTGGTTTAGAAGGACAACTCTGAATTCAAAACCTGCAGAACTTGTGGCATGTAGTGCACCAGGTCTCTATTCAGCATTCAAGCCCTTCAAAAAGTGTGGTTGGTTTTGTACAAAGCCTTCACCACTATAATCAAATCATGTGATGGTGTCTGGGCTATTGGTTCCTAGGAACTGAGCTGCTTGGCCCTCATACATTGAATATGATGGGGAGAGTCCACCATATATTAATAGGATAAATAAATAAATATATATATATATATATATATATATATATATATATATATAATATTTTGTTAATACATTTTAACAGAATATTTATGTAAATCTTATGAGATTTAGCTAAAAATTTAATTTTGAGGTTTGGTGACATCTAGACCAAAATCTTCATGATAAAAATTAAATAAGCAACCCCCCCCCCACCTTAAAAATATCCTTAAGTTGAGATATGATTACAAGATCTTTTTCATTGAGGAAAATGTATATATGCTTAAAAATAGTAATTCTTGTTGATTACAGATCTTTACAATCTGCATATGTTCATGCCATACACTTCACACCAGAAAAAAAAATTGTTAATCATTAAAAAATATTATTTTTAAGCTGTTTGAATTGAAAAAACTAGCATTAATACTAATCAATGTTCAGATTTTGTTATATTGCAAAAAGAAGTTTTAAATTGATAATTTTTCTAGTGTTACAAAAATGTCCACTAGGCATACTAGTGCCTTCATTTGTTTATAACAAAGCTTTTATCATGTTGAAGATATGTTAAAACATAATTACACATTGATTTCATACATTTTTACAAGTATAATTGCTGCACAAAAAACTTATTTTTGTATTTAATATAATCATATTAACATGATATAAGTACCAAATAAATGAGACATGGTTTATTGGGGAAAAAAAAAACTTACAACTGGTTTCCTAACATTACCTTATTTAAAATATTGCAATGAATTAGGATGATGTTTTACTTTCACCAATTTCGTATAATAGGAGTTGAAGCTAAGAGAATTATTGAAGGTTTAGTTGTTTGGATTTCTGAATTTGTTTTAAGGGTGAATTTGAAAAAGTTATAACCAAAGTCATATTGCTAGCATTTTTACAAACACAGAAATAAAATTATTTTTTAAGAATCTCTGATGCAGTATAAATTTACTAAAATATTTTTGGTATGAATAATCAAATAAAATTTTTATCAAAAGTTCTAAGTTTGTTTTTATTCTTTAATATATCATTTCTTTGCTTGGTCATGTCTGATTTTGCTGATGATACCAAGTTCCATTTTTTATTTTTTTTAAAGACTCATGATTTGAACCAGATACTGTTTTCATCTCATTGCTTTTAAAACATTTTTTAATATCTTTATCTTGAAACTTGACACTTCTATAAACTAATTCTAGTGAGTCAGTTACTTGTAAAACCCTTGACAAATTTTGCAGAACAACTGGAAATGTAAGTGAACTAGTAATATATAAATGTAACAAAATTGTCAATTTTGTTTTTTTCTTATGCTAACATATTTAATTTTAGGAAATTCAATTAAAAACAGTATTAAATTGACTAGTTATGCTACAGATAGGAGACACTGGGAATTGCTGGTTTAAGATTGTTTTAATATTCTGAGAAAAATATATTCAAATTAAAATATACCTGTCTCTACATTTATTCCACTTTGGTAAGTCAGTAATTATTTTTCTAATGAATTATTCATTCAAAGTGATAGGTTCACTGAAAGCTTCTTCAATTTGATCCTAATTGGAAAATGTATTACTAATAAGTTGTCTAGATGCTTGAAAAATGGCATTCTGTAGGAAACATTGGATGAATAGTCCAAGTGTATTAAAGCCCCATCTTCATTTGATTCAAATTCAGTAATATTTTTGCAACATTAAGGTAGATGTTATACAGCAAAATAATGCGAAAGTACTTTATGAATTTTAAATGCATTAAGTTGGTCTGCCTATAAAGATGCAGTTTGAACATTGTAAAGGAAGCAATGACATATCAAAATCAACTTCTAGGAATTATCTATGTTTTTTGGCTTCTTGTTTCTTTCTAACTACTGTGCTGGTCTCTGCTTATACAAATTGATATAATGAAGAAATGGATAGATTTCATACCACTATATGATGAGTGTAGTTTTGTATCTAATTCAACTAAATTAGAACTGATTTAATGAAAATGTTTTCATGCCAATCATGTAAATGTGATATGAAATGGTTCCAAATGATGCACTTTTTGCCAATTCTCTGACAGTGTTTTAATCATTCTTTAGTACAGGCTTCAAATCATATTGAGTGATCAATGTAGCTAGTTTCTCAAACTGAAATCTTGTTTGCTCACCAAACACAGTGTATGTTTCTTATAGCATCAGCTCCATTATGGTCAAGTTTTAACTAAATAATAATAAATTAGAAGTTGAAAAGATTTTTCTTTTTAAATTTATTTGGAAAAAGAAAAATGTAATAATTAAAGGAATAGAATTAAATCACTAATGTATAAATCAAAGAAAATATTTAAAAATTAAAAAAATATAAATATTAAATGGTTAATTTCATTTTCAAATTCTAATATTATTCTCAAGGGGAAAGACTCTTAACATCTCGTAGAGTTACTTCCTCTGTAAAGAAAAATTACTTTAGGAGACTATAAATTCTGTATATCATACAATTACATATTAGTGTAATTGTGTAATGGCAAAATGAAAAAAATCCTATGGAACACGTTTTGTCCTTCAAAAGGGTTTATTCAAGTTAAATAAAATTCTTTATTAATGTAATCATATATATGTAGGTGAGGACTAAAGTATAAACACTAGCTATAATTAAACATTGAAACACTGAAGATGCAGGGATGATTAACTTTAAAATTTCTGGCATCTGATGTGTCTAGATGTACAGTCTAGCTGACTTCATTCAGCTTCTTATCACTATTGATGTTGTTTTTAAATGTTTCATATTGTAAGAGCAGTGGTTTTGTTAAGAAGGGTGAAATGATGTATGAATGTGGACATAAATTTAGAGTGGAAGATTCAGAATGCAATTTCAATAGACTTTTGCTTTAATTACTTTTTCTTTTAATTAAAACTACATTTAAGTCAAACTTGTGGCCAGATTATATTGTTTTGTAAAAATCCCTTTTGTGTTCCTAATTTAAATTCCTTTAGTTTGGTGAAGTGTTTCTGAAGGACAAAGTATGGTTACATAGGATCTTTTCCATTTTGCTATTAAATTTACTTTCAATTTTACATAATATAAAAACAAAAGGAAACACACCAGTTACTTAAGATTGTTTTAATGAAATATTTTTTAACATTGCTACATGGTAATTTTAATCACTGCAAGGAACATTTGGGCTAATATCTTTCAGAAAAATAGTATTAATGATCTTTAATAATTTGTATTAATTATGAATTATCTTTAATAATTTCATTTTTTTTTTTGCAAAAGAAACTGCTTGTATTGCATTTTGAGATAAATATAAAGATTTTTTTTTTAATTTTGACATTTTAAACCAAATCAGTTTTATTAAAAGGATTCTATTGATAAGTAAAATTTCACCAAATGTTTAAAATTAAAATTTAAAAAAAGATATTGATAATGCAAATTTATTTTTAGATGTAAATAATTTTAAATTTGCATAATTGTAACATAGTTTATTTTGTTTCTAATTGGGTAATCTTAATTTTTTAAAGAGAAAATTTACTGATGTCATTTTGTGCAATGTGTTTTATAAAATAACTTTTTGGTCGATTTCTACCTTGTCTCATTACAATGCTAAGTAAAATGTCACTAATTAAACAGTTAATATAAAAATAGTTTTCTACTATAATAATAATAGTACAAGAAATAAAATAGACTGCTTGTCTTTCTATTGATATTGAGTGTCTTCGAAAAAAGATTTTCTTTTTAATCAAGTTTTTCCAATATTAAATATCAGCCAATATGCAAACTATGCAGAAGCTTAAATGTAACAGATACACAACTTCTGATAAATTATTTAAGAGTAATCAAGAAAGAATATGTATGGTTTGCAGTAGATCCTATAACAACTGAATGTAATTACTTGAATGCAATCTTCAGGCTTGAAGATTGTGTTCAAACATGAAACAGACTGTTGCTGCTTGGTGTCCACTTTTATATTTACATACACCCTGTCCCTGATATTGAGCACTTTTGCCCATAAATATAGCATACCTTAAAACTATATTTTTATCATATATATAATGGAAAGCAAGAATCAAAAAATAGCAAATCCTAGTTTTCCAGCTCACTCAATGCATAAAAATGGATTAATATTAATGAAACTTTACATGATCAGAGAAAATTGCAAACTATTCTTGCCAACACAAGGTTCTATTTCTTTATTCTATTAATAATTAATAAATCAAAGCAACTTGCTAGCATATTTACAGTAATCAATACTAAACAATGTACAATGTTTAAAGGAAAAAAAAGACAGAAAAATAACATAAAAAAATTGGAAATATTGTATGTGCGTGCGTGTGTGTATTGTTATTAAGAATATTGGCAGAATTAAAGAGTAGAGGCACATTTACAGAACTCCGACCAGTTCTCTTATTTGACAATGGTATTAGCAGACATTCCTTTGTTACCACTGAGAATGACATAAGGAGTTCGTTCTTGCTTCTGCTTTTCTTGCAACAAAGTCAATGTATTGAGTGGGGTATCAGTGGAACTCATCTGTTTCATCAATTGCTCTTCTTCAAGTTTTTTCATGCGTTTCTCAGTCTTCTTTTTGCCTGGGCCTTTACCATGGAAACGGTGAGACAACTGTCGGAAAGCTTCTTTTTCATTGAGGAGCCTGCCTGAATCATCAGCATATTCTAGTCGTACATCAGGTTTATAACCCTCTTTCTCTTTAAAGTCTATCAACATTCCTGTATAACGGTCTCTCTTTCTATATTTCTCATCCAGGTCATCATATCTCTTATCTTCAATAGAATAATGGATTGCTTCAAGGCCACTGTGCTTGGGGCCACTGGGTTGTCGTTTTACTTTGTTATCTAAGTAACCTTTTTTCATAGCTACTTGAAGGGCAGCACTCAGCCCCATGTTTATAGCTGGTTCTTCATCCAAAACAGAGTTTTCTTCTTTTATAATGTTGACTGGCTTGGTATCAATGTCTACCTCATTCCACTGACTGGACATATCTTCTTCATCTTGAATTTTTTTCTTTTGTTCCATTAATTCCAGTTCAAGATCAAGAAAAGCACTTCGTTCTTCATCACGGTTACCAGCCAGACCATAGGTTGGAATGTCTCCAAGGGCTCTACAAAACTCAGAGGTAGAATTGAGTATAATGTCACTTCCCTTAATGTTAGCCACAGAAGGAGAATCCATTTGAGATTTGGCATGATTCATAGTCTTCTCTATAGCATCTGCTACAACTACCAATTTCTTCTGTTTTAATTTGCGCACTTTGTCTAGAGTTGCATGTAGTTCATTCATTGCTTCATCTTCTTCAATAATGGCGTTACTATAATCATCATCATCATCATCATCATCAAATCCTCCCAAAATCTTAGACTCTTCAAACTGAGGTGGATCAATTTCCATCTCTTCCGTGTTATCCTGAGGTTCTGTTTGAGATACAACAGAATCTCCATTCTGACTATAATTAGATTCATTCACTTGTTGAAATCGTGAACCAAGATCTTCTGAAGGAATGTCATTTGGTAAAGGAAGCAAGTCATCTGCTTTCAAAATTGTCTTTTTCCTAATTTTTCTCTTAATTTTCTTTACCTTCTTGAACTTGATTTCTTCCATTTCTTCTGCAGTGTAGAATTCCTTTGCTAGGACTGAAGTTTGGTTCAACATCTGTTCTTGTTGTTTGAGCTCTGAGCGCATTCTCTCCAGTTCCCTCTCTGCAGAAGGAATATATTTTCCACTTGATCCCAACTGAAAACTTTTCACCCTCTTTCCACCGATTTCCTCATCGTATTTGCTAAGTATGGCCTTTGGTTCTACAAATCCCTTTTCAGTGAACTCATCATCATCATATGGTTGATACTGATATTCATCTTTCATTTTCATTTTCCTTTTCTTAGCTTCTTGTATTTTTTTAGCTTTTTCATCTTCTTCAATGTTAACATTGATGAGCACTTCTCCTGCTGTTTCATCGAGTACACCATGATCTTTCAATGTAAGGATTACCGATCGTCCCTCTTTAAAGCTTTCTACATCATGTTCAACTTTAATTCCTTTCAAATCCTGCGATGAATATTCCTTCTTTTTCGTATCCTTACTAAATTCCTCCTCCACCAAACTGCCAATTCCAAAGTCCTGATCCATTTGATCAAGCATTCTCGCCGTTTTTTCGGCTAACTCGCGCTCTTTCTCAAGGCGACGACTTTTATCTAACCATTTATTCAGATCGTCATCATCATCACTCTCACCCAGAGTTTTAATCTTGTTGAGTTTTTGCGTAATTTTCCTTTTTTGACGCTGGTTTTCCATTTTTTCTCGGAGTTTAGTTGTTTTTTTTATGTCACCGATATTAACAGCCGGCACATGAACATCTTCCTTCTTTTGGGGAGCATCGTCTCCGTCTTCTTCTGTAGCCGGAGCAACGTTGGAGCCCCCAGCAATACTGCCATTATTACTTGCGACATCTAAAGGCTTTAAACCTAGTTTAAGTCTTAACTTGTTAGTTTCTTCAATGCTCAGAGAACTTGTATCTCCACTTGCCGTGGCAGACTCGCTCCTATCAAGAGAATCAGTTTCAACTCGACTGGACACGTGCTGTTTGGATTTCTTTTCTTCATCTTTTTCTCGACGTTTCTTACTTAAATGTCTGTCCTTCGATCGAGATCTTGATCGGGATCTGTGTCTGTGTTTGTGTTTGTGCTCTCGATCAGATTTGTGTTTCTTTGAAGAACCCATACTGTTATTGATATTAACAAATAATAGCAATATAAATAACACTGTTTTAATATGGCCGTCAAAAAAAAAACCCTACTCCGCAGCAAATATTAAGTTCTTTATAATTAGTGATAATAGGAAGTCGGTGTTACATAGTTTGCAAACTGATTAATAGTAAATAATAATAATAATAATAATAATAATAATAATAATAATAATGATAATAATGATAATGATAATAATACACACACACACACACATAAACGAAACCACATAAATTTTTAAAATCTATTATTTAAAAACTTATGTAAATTTAACAAAATATGGTAGAGAAGTTGTAATCAATAATAGTTGGGTATGAAGTTATCATAAAAATTTATTATTTCACCTAAGTTAATGTCTGATATTATATCACAGAGATGCGAAAAGTAAAGATAAATAACAGAATTTAGCTTCGTAGCAGATATGTAAAGATTTTATTTCATTCCGTGGTTGCTTCCCTTGCTCCTCAAAGAAGCCCAATATCATGGCAAGTTCTCTTCTCGCTGCTAAAGAAGACGAGGGAAAAAACGACGAAAAAAACAATGCAAATCAAACACGTCGTAGTGTTGTTGAACGTTATTATACATGTAGATATTGCATAGGTAATGTATTTCGTGTTAATATCAAGTTTACTTTTTAAATGCGGAAGAAACCGCACACGTAGTAAATTATGCGACTAATTTTGGTTTTAAGAAAAAAAAAATCTATCTATAAAATTTTTTTCCGATATGATTAATTAAGTAAGCAAACAATTATTTCATTATTAATTATATTTTTTAACCTTCTTTGTTTATCAAAGGTTTTGGTATTTTTCCTTCTGTTGTTGAATATGAATATTTAGTTATGCTTCTTGTTCATTACATTTTTTTTCTCTGGTACCGATCTTAACGCTCAACAATTTGCAAGAGTCTCTGGTCATTTTCACCTTTGGACAAAAATAAAACTATAAAATGCTAACAAATTTTTATGTTTTCGAAACTGGACGAAGAAAAGCTAATTAATTAACAACTTAATTGCCAAAATTTTAATTAGACTATTTTGCTTTGAGGTAAAAACTCTTTCGTTTTTTACTTCTTGCTAATATAGAATTACAGGAAAGTGTATACACGGTTTTTATGAGTTAGTGATAGTTGCTAAAATTTTCTATAATTATGAAATATTAAATTTAACTCTTGGAAATCACATTTCCTTCAAACTTTATCTTTCTGTTTGAGTAGATGTATTGTAAAAAGTGTTTCTTTTTCCTGTGAATTTGACAAAAAATATATCAATGTCAGTTTTGGCCAAAATGTTACCAGTTACTTAAGTTTTGTTTACATTTATTATGAAAACAAAAAGCAAAAGAAATGTCTCCTATTTTTTAGTTTTTGACCTTAAAAGGAAAATATATATATATGGTGTAACACCAAAATTGTCCAATTGTTAGATTAAGCTCTGAACCATTGTATCTTAGAGATGATTAAAAATATTAAATCTCTGGAATTCTGAGATTTTTATAACACAATTGGTCTTTACTTTTTTAGCAGTAAGAATGTATAATTACTGTCCAAGCTCAACAGAAGAATCATTATGAAATCAATCATGAATGAAAAAGATATGTTTATCATCAATTACTCATAGCTAAGGATTGGAAGCTCATGAAGTATTGAAATAAAGTTAAAAAATATATCATTTCAGGATCATTTTCCAACTTATTCAAGATAAACTTCACTCTCTCTAACCTTTTAACTTTGTCTTGGAGTAACAAGGTGTCTCACTGGTTTTACGTATGCTTTCATTTTCAAGTCTTTTTTTTCACTGCTCTGTCATAGCAGAAACTCCTCTCTCACATGCCAAACATCTTATTAATTGAGTTGGATCTTTTCTAATTGATCTCTTTAGCTCTAAGTTGAAATGATTTTTCTTCTTGTTATGACCTTCTAATCCAAGTTTTCCTCTCTAATGTTCCCTCTTTTTTAAACTTATTCACCGTTCTCTTGATGGTTTTTGAATGGGTTTTGAAGATGGAAGCTAGAGTATGAATATTGGTACTATTATTGAAGATGTGAATGATCTTTTTCCGCTCACCATTGCTCATTTAAGAAGACAGTGGGTCTGAGACAAAACGATTTTAATCTGTTCTCTTTCTAGATATATAGGTTTTTTTCAGTGATTCTTACGAAAAATGGCTAAACGTCTTATCTGTAAACCTAGAAAAAAGAAACTCATTTAGTTTTTGTGGTTTTTTAGATATTAAACATTTTGTGGGATGGATAATTATGTTGTTACACCTGGTATATAATTACAAATTAAACTAATGTTTGTTTAGCAATTTGAATGCATGTGAAACATTAACAAATGAAAATCAAACACAAAAGTAAAAATACTGGAATTTTTTTTTTTAAAGCTTATACTTTTTTAATTTTTCTTTCTAAGTAATATTTAGTTTTTAATTTGAACTCATAAGTAGAGATGTTACAATTTATATTTCTTTAGGGTTTTAGGCTTCTAAGAAGAAAAATATTTGGGTATTGTATACAATGTCGATATAAAATATAGATTTTAAATATGCTACAGCTGTTTGAGGTTTCCTATAGCCCTACTGAACTTAAATAAATTCAATTCAGGTTTGCTATGGTAAAAATTTTCTATCCCAAGTAAAAATCATCACAAAAATGGCAAAAGTCATTTTGTCACAGCTTATTTTTTCTGAAAAAATGGATTTTCATACTTTTATAGGGGTAAAATATTGAAAACTGACTGTTTTATAATCATCCAAACAAATATCAAGGAAACTTTTGATCTGAATCCCATGAAACTAGGTATTTTCTGAAAGCAAAGGATATATTCTTTTTTTTAAAAGTAAAATTGGCTGGTGTAAATGACTCAAATTTTTATTTCAGCGGGTAAAATGTGAAAAAATAGTGAAAATTTTCCATTTTTCTAGTTCTTTTTGTTTTTTTTTTTTGTTTTTTTTTTTTTAAATCAGAAAGCCTAAATCATAATCAAACTATTTCAGGCATAAAATTGAGAGTTTTGAAGGAAATCAACATTCCTAGGGGGTCAAAATGTGACAAAGTCCATTGGTAATTTTCAATTATATGACTGCCAAGGGTTAAAAAAATGACACCCGGCCATGGAAAGGCAAAAGATTTATCTGCAATTCCTGACCACCAGAAACCAAAAGTAAAATTAAGCCAAATTGACTTTGACATGTCTGGGTCAAAAGTCAGCCAACCAGCCAGCAATAAACATTTAGAACAGGTCCTCAGCTTGTAATATAACCTACCACTCCCAGATAACAGCAAAGAGTGAAAAAAAAAAAAAAAAAAAAACGGTCAACATTGGTAGGGCTTGATATAAGGTCTTTTTTTTGTTTTTTTTTCAAACCTGTGTTTGAACAATGGCTTGATGTGTTTTGTTTTTAACAAACTGTAACCCAGTGATGACAACAACACTTAGCAGACGCATGTCTTTCGTATTTTCCCATTGTCTGGCAATTTAGCCGTTCCTTTTATTCAATGATGTTCATGCCAAATTAAGGAGTAAGGGATGAAGTTTGAATGATATTACTTTGAAGTGAAAATCAATATTTTTTCATAAAAAAAAAAAGGGGATTTTTCTCAGAAAATTGGGCATAATTTCTGCCGAGTGACATTTTCCACAGCCAAATCGAAGATTAATTACCAGTGAATAATTCCATGTGCAAACAATAGCTGTCTGGATCCTATAATATCACCTGAAAAGGTCCTGAAGTTTACTGATTGATTGAAAACTTGTTGTGCATAATTGTGTTTTTCACGGTCAGTTTCCATTATTTGATCTTGATGTTGTCATTTTTGAGGATTCAGGAAAACAGTTTGGCACAGGTTTGCTTTAAGAACTTTACGTTCTATGAGGTGTTTAAAATGTTACTGACAAATGCGATTTTTCGCCAAATATTTTGTTTATGCGCCATGTTGGATTTTCCCATATGACAAAAGTAAGTGTTTTAAACAGCCGTGATGCATAAACTAGATATTTTATATTTGAGAGAAAGGCATGTAAATATATCATCTTTTTTAAAAGATAATTTACATATTTAAATATATAACCTAAGATGTACCAATTATAAACTCAATAGCTGGTGATTATATCTGAATAAAGCATAATGGGTATTGGCACAAAAAATAGCAGGGTAGACTGAGCTCTCTAGACTTGGATGGTATCCAGTCTAGGAGAGGGGAAAATATGAATTCAAAAATCACTATCTTTCCCAATAATACATGACAATTCAGATAAAAGGACTGTAGAGAGCCACGGTTGTTTGTTTTGAAAGGATATGATATTATTTAAAAAAAAACCCAGAAAACTCTGTACTGCTCAAAGATCATTGGCTTTGATGATAAGCAGAATATTTTGCTGCTTTCAAGTCAAGGTGGAAGCCCGGTTGTTGAAGAACAGCCTTCTACATTGGCCATTTGTATTTTTTTTCTTTCTGTTTCTCAATTTTACCTCTCGGTGAGGGGTGTCCATAGATATCCATCTTTCAATTAGCTCTCCATTCAACAAAAATATCAAATTCAGTTCTGTCAGATTCGTTAAATGCATATATTGGACAAGAAGATAATATTATAACAAGTGATTATAGTAGTAATAATAATCACACAAAATGTCTTTCTGTAAGTTCAGATTTACAATTTTGTAAATTTTTATGTTTGCCTGTATGTATAAAAAAAGAAATTGCTATAAAAATGCTTTACTTTGTTTTCTTTCTTTTACATTTTGAAAAATAAAATGTCTTTACACAAAATACTTATTAATTAAAAAAATTAAATCTGTCAGTTTTAATTTTAAACTGAAAAAAACGATTCTGATAGTGTGGATGTGTAAGTAAAAGTTCCTTCATATATACTCAAGATGGTAAGGGCACAAATTTACTGCATATATTTGAGTCCTTACTATCTAGTGCATTGTTTTTGAGGTTCTTGCTCCAAAGAAATGTTTCATACACAATCTTTCTTTCAGTGACCATTATTTGGTATCTATTTACATTATATAGCTTTATTTTTATATTCTTATACTCTGATTAGAACATGCTCATAAAAATTGTGCTTTTATACCATTCGTAAGTTATGTAGCAGTTATCGCCCTTGAATTAAAGTTTGTTTTCACTGATGACGAGCAGTTTAAATCTAAATCATGGTAGAAATTTTGTTTAATTTTACCCAAAACCATTTGGTTGTGTACAGTTATCTTTAAGTTCAGTCTGTAATATTTTTTATTTTTTACAAATTCAGCTTGTAAAATTGGAAAGTAAGTATATAAGATTCTACAGATTGTCAGAGCTGAATTCAGTCAAACTGAGGAGGAATTTGATTATTTTTGCAGTTAAGGAATTCTACAAAATGGCATACAACTAACATTTCAAGATCTTCCTAAAGTATTGCTGGACACTTTCAGGCTTATATACAATTCACTAATATACTGTGTAAATTTCATGCAAGTTTCCTTAAGTAATTCTGAACATCTTAGGATTAATCATGTTTACTAACTTCAGATGGACTTGTATTGCTGTAATTGTTCAGGATGTCAATTTGCTGTCAAAAATACACATGCAATACTAGATTTATGACTAATTCCT